GCACTGCGCGCCCAGTCCACCCTTCCGCCACCCGTCCCCGTCCCCGCCGGGAGAGCCGTGACGCGCGGCCCCGGGCCAGGGACTCTCAGTGGGGTCTGTTGCCGGCTGGCGGGGGGCGGGGGGCCTGTGGCACACTGGGGTCCGCTTCGCGAGACCCTCCAGGCACTGAGTGGGGGCGGGGCGCAGGTGAGCACCGGGCCTCAGGGAGCTCGGGGGCTGCGGGGCCTGAAAGGAAAAGCCAGCGGTCCCGCCTCCGCCTCGGCTGGGCTGTGCGTGGCCGGCGCTCGCCATGGTCGACAAAGACCTGTCGCCATGGTCTGGCCCCTGGAAGCAGAGCTGGGAGGGGCTCGCGAAGTCGCAGGCTGCGGGGGCAGGAGGACAGCGAGAGCTGTGACCTGTTTTGACCCTGGAGGGAAGGGAGAGAGGAGGCCTTGGACCAGAGGCGGGAGGGGAGGCGGGTCCCCGGAAATTCAATGACACAAGTGCCCAGCGAGGCTCAGGTTAAAATGTGCAGAGGAGGAAATGCCAGCTCTCTCTTGGTGGACACCCACTGACCGAGGGACAGACCCCGTTCTGGCGGCCGCGGCCCAGGGTGTGAGTGCGAACCTCAGAGAGTGGTGCCTCCCAGTCGACACTGGAGATGGGGGTGGGGGCTGGGCTGCCCCAGGCCAGATGAGCCAGGCTCTGAGCCAAGGTCGCAGGTGACAGACATGCATGTGGCCTGCCTGTGAGGACAGGACATCCCGGCTCCCACAGTCCCCTTTGTGGGGATGGACTGTGCCCAGCAGCACCCCCTTGTGGCAGTGGCGCTGGGCTCCTGGGGTGGGCTAAGTGGAGACCCCCCAACTGGAGGGAAGCTCCAGCTTCCTGAATCAAAGCCAGTCCCAGGAACCCCCCTGGCTGGGACCGCGTTTTCCCCTGGGAGGGGGGTGTCTGGAGTGCGGTGCACACATCGTCTCACTGGCCCTCACGGTGCAGCCTCTGCCCTGGGGATGTCTCTGCGCAGAGT